TATCTACTTTCTGTCACTGTATCTAAATAATTACAACAATTATTATTTTAAGTCTGAAAATGGGATTTTACAGAAAATTAGTCCCACTGTTTCTTGCCAAGTATATCTTTAATAAATAATAATTGAATTGTGCATTGTGTTCCTGTGTTCCTAAGATACCTTAGTTTTAAAAATAACGAGAAGTCAAAATGCGAGTTTTCACCCATAAGTTCCCTTATAAGTTCACATATCGTGAATGCTCTGTTATAACGAAGTTAAGTGGGACAAGGATCTAAGTTTAGGGTTTTGCAAAACCTGATGCAAAAGTATACACCCAGTTTGTTGGTGGCTTGAATGAAACAAACAAGAAGTGGTTATCCGATTCTGATGTATATGATACGGGTATCATAGTTGTGTATTGGGCCTTAAGTTTGAACTGTTTCTGCGATTTGTTTTAGTCTTGGAACGTTTTGTAAACTTGATAATCGTTTGGTCCAATCCAGTTTCCAAGTGTTTACTTTCTTTTGCCCGACAGCTTATTATCTTATATTTTAAATTCACTTTGTTTTCCTAAATGACTTGGTTCTTATTAGGACTATCGACATTATATGGAACAATCCATGTCTCGAGAACAGCGGAATGTTTAAACATTTGTTGATTACAGTTATGCAAAGACCATCAGTTTCATCGTACGAAATACTTAATAACGGGGGTTCAGTTTAACGAGGTTTTGTTGTGTGGACAGCGGTGTAACTGTATTTAATAATGGTGATCTTGTCGGACCAGTACGTATTCCAGTGAACAATTCCTGCATTTTGAGTATGCAGACTTTTAGACGGACCATTTTGCTTCATATACACGCTAATATTTTATGACACGTGACAGTTGATATTGACGGCTTCATTATTTGACAGGATGTAGTGAAATAATTTGTCTTCATGACTGTGGACATTTACATTTACATTTTGTCTGGATAATTTTTCAAAGAGTATATTTCTTTCTTGAGTGTGTTTAATACAGTGAAGTAAGTAGTGATTTTCGTCATCAATGGTTTAACATGTAGAGCATAGCCTCTGATGTAGTGGGGTTGGTGGCTTTGTATGTCTTCCAAGTTCAATATTTAATTTATGGTTACTTAATCTTAGAAAAGTGCACTCGATATTTTCTTACTTTACAGTGACTGAGATAGGGTTCTAATTTTATTTCATTTTTAACTATCCTGTATGTCCTACGTTTGTTTCCTGTGCCTCTTGTTGCATTTACATCTTATATGAATGGATCACTGAATCTCCGTGATGACGCCAGATGCAAACAAAAAGAATATCAACTATCAGGTCTCAAACAAGATTGATGTTGACACAAATCAAAACATTATCCCCGTATCATAAAATGGCATGCCATGTTGGATCACACACAAAAAAATATGAAAAAGTTGATATCGTTTGAAGCCATCTCACATTATCCCCCTTGGCGTTCCGAGTCATATGGATATCATCTGTCTCGTCACAATCAGCGCCCCCTGCCGGCGGAGCAGCAACTCGAGGGGCCAAAACATCCCACGTTTGGAGGGGCAGATAAAATTGGTTGACATACGTGGGGTGGCAAGCCACTTATACTTATCTCGATTTACATAAATATACATCAAGTGATCTCTGATAATGTGGTGTTAATGTTGATTTATCGTTGGACTATCAAAAAACATACGCAGTGACACGGCAACTATACATTTTTGTGAATGTGAGTTCAGAATACGGAGGTGGTAGGCGTGTAGAGATAATTTTTGATGTAAGGTTTTTATTCCATAGAGATAACTTTGCAAGTTGTTTAATTGAGACTTCGTCAAAATGACTAATCTGATCATTTATAAACATAAGGAACATGTTGAGAACTTATAAAAACAAATTTCGATTTAATAAATAACATAAATTTAAAATATATTTGTGTTATTGGAGGATTAAGAAACCGTACTTGTTTCCGTTCCACTACAAAGGTGACTAGGTGCATGGTATATTCAACTAGGTGCATGGTATATTCAACTAGGTGCGTGGTATATTCAACTAGGTGCGTGGTATATTCAGTTGTATTTTGTATTCTAGCCAGTATACACACACACACACACACACACACACACACACACACACACACACAACCACGTCGCTGGTGCCACGTTAGTGCCATAATCTTGATCGCGACTTTAAACCCCATTTCATTTCACCTCTATGGTTGATGAGCACCAAGACTGTGTTTATGAGATACACTAAGTGGAAGACGTCTAAGACCTGCTTCACTTTGGGCCTCACCCCACCCCTCCCCACCTCCAACCCCCTGCACCATTCCCCGCATGAAGCTTACACGCTGTGGTATTACTGCAAGTGTGTTCAAAGCATCGTCACTACTCATTGTACTCTCTCAACAACCAGATTACAGACTGTTTGGTCTGCAAATGTCAAAGTGTTGATAGTTATGTGAAACTTAACAAACGCATACAACAATCCTTTAAAAGAATATTCAACAATCATTGAACATACTATATGCTTTATTTACACATGAAGTTACATCTATATGCATGTTTGTATATACATTAGTATGTACAGCTGACAGAACATATATACTGCCCGTTCTTCGTCTGAGGGCTACATTCAAGGCTTCAGGAGAGCATTCAAAATGTTTTATGGCAGAGCGCATTTCCCATTTTGACGCATCAGTGACAGAAATGATATCTCATGCAATTCCCAATTTTGACTTGTACATATATTGCCGTTTGGTTCAGAGGAACACTTGTCTTGCCCCTGCATGTGTTTGTGATGGGTGCCACCGTGGGTAGATGATACGATCACCTTTTAGTGAACACCTAGTATCATGCATCAATAAATAAAATATATAAATAAACACATCCCTATGATATAATCGGAATCGTACAATGGCGATTTCATATGATTATGTCGAGCATGTGTCGCTTTTATTGTCGGTATTTCTCGTTGACTACGGATATTTAATAACCTATGTTCCATTGTTTAAACGATATAATATTATCTTGACAATATATATATGTGTGTGTGTAGCGATATGTCTCAAAGACAAATGTCTCTGATAATAAACGTAGCATATTTAAAAAGAAATATGGGTAACAAATCAATACTTTCCGCGAAATCCAATTTAATATTCACAATGGTGAAAAACGTTTCGGGGTTGTTTATGAAAAAAGAAAAGAGCACTGAGAATTTTACTTAACAGTTTCCTTCGTCTTACTTACGAACACACATATTTGCCTCCTTAATAATACATTGAAACCCATCCTAGGCCGCGGTTACCCAAACACAGACCTATTATGCAATCAGTGTTTACTATATATCCTTACAACGTTTATTTAATCCTTTGGCATTTAGAAAACGCCAAAATGACGAGAAGCGTATATACGATGTAGTTATAGGGAAGGATGCATTCGAGATACGAAGAGTTCGAGTCTATCGAATCTATAACAGGTGTTAATATGAAAATATAAGCGACAAATTGCTTTCCATAATCAAAAGAAATCTCTGCTAAAACGTCGATATATTCATAATCGCATTCGAGTCAACGAGAGTCGAGCATATACAAATTGGGAAAAAAATAAATCACAAGCAATGCATTGAAACAATTAAAACATTGTTTTTGTACCTGATCATGTAATTTATGATACATTCGGCATCAATCAATCAATCCTGGTGACATAATAGGTACACTTTGCCGCATCGTAGTACCGGAAAACATGTCATAATTGACTGCGAAGGGCTCTCACATACAGAGAAAACAGATGTACGATAGACTTTCTTCAGTGCTGCACATAAACGACTATCTTACTTATAGTGGCCAGGGTGATACTGCAATGTTGAACTGTTTGCTTGGAGGATATCACTATACTTTATCACATGGATACAATTTGTGTTGGTTGTCTCAATGTTTGTACATATTTGTAGGTTATGCATCAAACAAAACATGTTATAGCCGTAAAGTTCACTGGCATTTACCGAGAAGGACATTGCATGTTAATATTTCTGTAATCTCCCCTTAGTAAATTACAGGTCATTTATGATATGACATAATTTACTCTCATATATACTCTTCAATCATTGGAGGAAATAAAGAATGTCTGTGTGTCTGCCTTCATTGTCTCATACTTGAAATGCACTGATACATCAAAATACATACATACGTACCATGTCCACATGCCATGTAATATGTGATTCGGTCAAATCTACGTTACATGTAAACATTACTTGTGGAGATTATTACTTAAGAGTCGGTGATCACAGATGATTTTATTCATTTACTTCAGTACCTATGTTGTCTAAAGGTAACTAGCTAAACGCGTTGGACTACAACAAAAGTATATCAACACAAGAATATACATGTACATCGGTTCATATCATAGTTAGCACATAAACTGTCGGGGAAAAGCAAGTATATACTCATGTTTGATGGTGGCTAAAATGACACAAACAAGGAAAGTGTTTTCGATTGTGATGTATTTCATACGGGTAATACTATATCATACTTGGGTTCCGGATCTTAAGTTTGCATTGTTTCGGCGACTGGTTTTACCCAGTCACCTTTTGATAACGCTTGCAATTCTTTCCTAAAATCCACTTTTCAAATGTATACCTTCTTTCTCCCGGTAGTTTATTTAGAACAAAAATATATATCCTGAGAAGAAACGGTTAATCTGTTTGGGACTAGAAATTCTCTAGTAACCCATTTCACTGGTGTTTATTTTTTTCACTTCAAGTGAGTGAACGGCAATGATTGTGTTCTACAAACATGCTGAATCCTGTGAATACATGTCTTTGCAGTAAAAATGATTTAAATACCATCTGAGGAGCTTCAGATCATTTCAGGTGCATATGGCACAGAGCAAATACTCAGAAAACATAAAACAATAATACAGAAAATGTTCAACTGCACGTACACGTGCTCAGCCTCGTTGACCTGGGCCAACATGCACAAAGCGATCTTAACGCTATGACTATTGCAAGCCTATGTTAAAGAATGGGAGTTTCGATCATCTTAGGACAAAGATCGCTTTGTGCAAGTGGGCCCTGGTTGGTAAAGTGTCAACGTACCCCGGCGTCGTGGATCTGTCTCTTAATATCAATCACTGGATTTTCTGGTCCATATTTACAGGCCGTCGTCGTATAGCGAGAATATAGTTGAGTGCGACGTTAAACAAAAAAGACGAAAATCAAAAGATGATTGTGTTGTCACAATTCTTGCAGAGTAAGAATAGTAATATCATGTCAATGATGTTGTTCACACTATCAACCCTCGGTTTGTCACATCCAGGCCCGATATTTGTACTGATATATAGCTACAATATATTGCAAGCTACGACGTAATTCCAAATCCACTCACTCACTCTGTTTAGATGATTGTCTATTTACATATGTACATGAATGAAAATATATTGCAAATAAATTATCATAAATATGTGATATTTACAATGCATATAAACAACAGTTGTAGCAACATTAGACGAAGATATCGTCAACCTTTTGCAGATCCAAATCAAATATAACAGAATCACCACATTTTAAGTTGACGCCATCCACGCTTGCCCTCTTCAGAGTCTCTTCATCCGAACTATCACCAGACATGCGCAGATCGCTACGACTTTTAGCCCTTATGAGTCCTTGGCCATCATTGTCCTTCAAGACGTTCCTTGGAAGTTTTTTCGGTTGCCGCAGTTTTGGAACAGGGGGCTCAAAATGAAAACCGATCTCTTTGTAGGGGCTTTCCGGTTCTTCCTTGATCGTATCCAAGCTGCAGTAGTCAGCATACAGCTCGTCTCCGGGCAGGGAAATCTCGTCGAGTTTCGGTAAGAGACGTCTGCTCTGCATGCAGTCGTATTTCTCCTTATTTGGGCGAATGACGACACTGTATTCGGGTTCCGGTGGGCAGTCGTCAGTTGCTAAGAGCTTCCGGTCTGTTGAATGACCTGAAATTGATTATTACAACGCTATATTAACAAAATATACGACGTCAACGCCAGAGCATAACCAGTCTCGATTCTCCGACGAAACGGATTCCACAGTGTTTAAAAGACTAAATAACGGTGAAAATTATATTTTATGGATCACTGAAAATCACTGACAACTAGTGTCCACGAAAACAATATTATCTACCAGGTCTCACACAAAATAAGTTGACAAAACCTAATACTCACTATCCTAGCATCATGGCATGCGCTGTTGGATCATACATAAAAAAATTTAATAAGTTGATATCGTTTGATGTCAAACAGAGTAAAAGGCAAAATAGCGGTAAAAATATATATGAATGGATCACTGAAAATCAGTGACGACAAAAGTTGTTCGTTAAAAAGGTATGCATGTCCTGCCCTATCGTCAGCACCCGTCACTTACACAATTTGCATAAAGAAGACTACAAGAATATGATTCATTTTTGTTATTTGAGAACATCATAAGTCGACTAATAAATGGTTAACGAATTCTGAGAGCTTTACACCACGACTTGGCAGCCGCGTGTTAAACACGTGCAGGGGCGAGTAAATTACAGAGCGCAGTGGTATATATCCGGCGCGGAACAATTGATAATGCATATGCTACTTTCAGCACGTGCACGCCGCCCCAGTTCGATCCCATGACGACCATCACGCCAAACCAAACATATACTTAAAACCAGAGAGAGATATCTGTATCTCTGTCTCACACAAGAGACACAGTCAACAATGCATACGTCACATTGTCATTCAAAGAACACGTACGAGTCACGAGTGTCAAATATGATATATTAAAAAAATTACAATTAACAAAGAGCAATTAAAGACACAATATGTCTGATATTTTAAATTTGCATAATAAAACATCCATTGATAATTATTACGATTGATATTAGTTTTCATATATGATACAATAGAATAAATAGAGTGAGCTTTTTAAATCATTACATATGACTGTTACGAAATGTTTGTTTGTTTGTTTGTTGTTTAACGCCGCACTCAGCAATAATCCAGCTATATGACGGCGGTCTGTAAATAATCGAATCTGGACCAGACAATCCAGTGATTGACATTATGAGCATCGATCCACGCAATTGGGATCGATGACATGCATCAACCAAGTCAGCGAGCCAGAACACCCGATCCCGTAGGCGCTTCTTACGACAAGCATAGTCGTCTTTTACGGCAAGCATAGGTTGCTGAAGACCTTTTCTAACCCGGGTCTTCACGGGCCGTTACGAAATGAATCTCATTTCGGTATCTGACTCAAGGCGAACATGTTCAACCAACTCAATGACAGTGATAATAAGTACCGTTAGTACGTTATAGCCATAGCGGGATGCAAACATCATCTCATATTCTTCATCTCATCGGAATATTCAGCCAACGTATTACATCATGTCTTTTGTATTGAATTTTATCGGGGGCAATGTACTATGACTAATATCAACTTGTGTTCGTTCCCCCTTTATTAAAATAACAATATTGCTACCATGATTGTCACCTTGCAAGGACGAAGTCTCGTTGCTATGGTTATCGTCGTCACTTCCGCCTTTGCCGCTGTCGTTTCCGCTGGTACCACTGTCGTTGCTGTCGGCGGATACCTTCCTTGTCTGGGGTTGGGAGGAAGTGCGGGAAGAGAAAAATGGACAAATGTGAACATACTAAATGGGTACATGATCAATGAATATGATTGCCCTGTTTTATAATAATCGGATCTCCGACCTATAAACATTGAGGTCACACCGTTAATGATACTGTTCTAAATAGGAGGGGCGGTCGGGTAGCCTAGTGGTTAAAGCGTTTGCTCGTCATGCCGAAGACCAGGGTTCAATTCCCGACATGGGTACAATGTGTGAAGCCCATTTCTGGTGTCCCCCGCCGTGATATTGCTGGAATATTGCTAAAAGCGGCGTAAAACCATACTCACTCACTCTAAATAGAAATATTGTAAGTTATTAACATGGCTGAGACCAGATATTTGGAGTAGAGTTTGACAAAAGAATTGTGAGAAAATCAGAATACAAAATATTTTTCAAAGATTTATATACGGAAAGGACTGGATTTTGTCTCTCTAAAATTGAGAAGTTTGACATCACCACGTATTGGCCAGCTGACATTCAACTTCAGGGGCGATGAGATAGCCTAATGGTTGAAGTGTTTGCTCGCCACACCTAAAACTCGGGTTTGATTCCGATAATAGGTAAGAAACCCATGCTTGGTGCCTCCTGCCGTGATTCGACTGAGGCGGCGTAAAACTAAACTCAAATTTTAATCAGTAAGTTAATCAATGATCATTAAATCTTAAAAACTGAACATAACAATGTTCCCCTAGATTGACGTTGCTAGCCAGTAAATCACACGATTCGGTGAACTTTTGACCGCGTACGAGATGCAATGTTATCACTCAAGCTAGTCTTTCATAGATAAAACCTTCATATTTGACACACATTTCTATGTCCACTTCAGAATTCAGCTAATCTAGTAACTCTCACAAGCGGACTACATTGAACGCGGAGTAATAACCTTGCGATTAGCCCCATACTGTCAGAGCGTCATTGTCCCTTGTCTGGTAGCCATTTCCAGACTAAATAAAACATTACTATAGAAACTATCACATCGCGTGGTACTCTGCACTAATTTCACGGGATTAACGTGAATCCATTTACTGCAGATTTAGCTAAATGTGTATTGTGTTGCACGTGCCGGCAAGTGCTCTGCGATCGCGTGAGAAAGCCTGTAGATAGCCAAAACATTTAAAGTGTCAGACGTAAACAATATCCTTGTCATAGACCACGTGGGCTTTCTGTTAATTAGGATTTGTTTTGTAAGCTGGTTCACCACAAACGAAATTTTAATGAAAGTTAACGATAAATGTCGAATGGCGTTTGTATAGGCGAAACAGGTGGTCATATTGGCTTTGTGTGGTAAAACTATTATGGGAAGGAGAAATGAGAACTAAATTACGGTCAAATTACACCTACTGTATCTCTACTTTACAAAAATCACTTAATTTACATGCAAACGTGCTTGTCTGAAAACTCGTTCACCTATTTGTCAAACCGTTACTCGTCACACACAAAGACCAATTTGTTGATTGAATATTTTTGGGCAGTTAAATTGCATTACATATCACTGATTCTGGCTGACTTTGCCAATACAATTTTTTTTAAATGTAATCCCAATGTTATTTGATGCTCCTGTCAGTTGTGTTTAAGATATATCTCAGGATGAGTGTCTGACAATTAGAGATTTAGGTAGAGTGGAGTAGGGGAATGGACTTAAGTCAGAAAACATTTTGCTTCCACTGCCTCAAAACATACAATACAACGGTGAGCCGAACAACTTTCCTTTTTTTCACATCTAGTCCAGCAAACCATTTGGGGGGGAAGTACAATTTGAGGATAAATAATCCCCCACCCCTCCCCCGCCCAACAACGAAATCTTGAGTTGTAGAGATATCACTGTATTCAAAATAACCAATACGCCTGGTTGAATGAGTATATATAAGTTAATATATCCATTTAGGGTGCCAATCAAGAACATCAAACCAAACATACGTATATTTCCCCCGACAGACCACCACGGCATCAGATGATCATGGGGTTATATGGGGGTTATATGGGGGTTATGTTTCACTTCTTCGTAAATTCCTCACTAACAGATTTCTCAGTCCTAACACTCCAAGTGACAGATCCTATCTCTAGCCTGAAGGAGATAAAGTTCAAAGTGAACTGAAGGTCCTGATGCAGGACTCAAAGTAATTCATCACACTCGGATCTGAGAGTTGCATTCTCCCACAGAAAAATCACTAAATCTTCTTGTGATTTGTAAAAAGAGAAAAAAAACACGCATTGTCCACAGCCCCTTAACTTCTCTTTTGACCATCTCATTTTCAAATCCGCTTGTCCCCAAAATACAAATACCTTTCTTTTCGGCTCCTTTTTTCAAAACCAAAGCCCGAATCCCTATAATGGTCATTCGTAAATTAGCCATCATTATTTTTGCCAACAAAAACTTATCGGAACAAAGGATCTCCTGAAAGGAGATCTTCCCTTGAAAGGATTAAGGGGTTTCCCTATAAAGGGTGAATTATTTCCAGGCGAGTAGAGAACCCATAAAGATTTAGGGGATAAAACAGGGAGGCCAGCGCTGATAACGAGACATGAGATGTGAGTTCGACCTTCTCGGGGGCTATTATACCCCCTGAAGCTAGGAGGGTGTATTGTGGGATAGGGAGAATGGGGGACAAATGGAGGCTCGACAGCCTGTTGTGTCTTGTAATGTTTGAGGAAATAAGTTCTTATAATCATGACAGATTTGGTAATGTATGGGTGTGTTTGTCTCATGAAGTTCTTCAACATGATCACATATGTTCATAAATCACTCGAAGGGTGTTTTTTTACTTGAAGATGATACTTGGGAACAGTTTGTTGACAACATTGTAGAATGTCTTTCTGAGGTAGCCTATGGTTTTATTATTAATTGTTGACATACCTGAATTTAGATCTAGTCATGCTACGTAGATAAGGTTGCGCTGTTATGTCCGTGATTGTATTCATTTGAGGAATCAAGTTATGCTAACATGCAATGTATTCCTTTTCAGTGGCAAGATAGTACAACTTACTAAATTAGAAGCAAGATTCTTTTGAACGGAAAATAGAAATAGTAACCTGTGATAGCATTCGAAGGATATATAAATATAAATAAAATATATTACGCATTCGAAGGATATATAAATATAAATAAAATATATTACTTATTTTAAAAACAACATATATATATATATATATATATATATATATATATATATATATATATATATATATATATATATATATATATTCATTCAAAGTCAATCGTAACTGTGATCATATATTCATCTACCCGATTGTGTGTTTTCACATAACTACGACCTGCATATTTTGATTAATAACCCACTGATACCTATACGTATTGCCTAAATCCTATTTTAATAAACACATTATTGTACTTATTCTACTGAACGGTTATTGAGAGACTGATATGCATTAAACTGCTGTTTTTATGGAAATTAACACATACGCTGATATTATCACTGATCGCATCTCAAATAAAATGTATAGTATATTTGTAAACGCACATAATACACAATAATTGTCTGAAATCTGTAAAAATATTCTGCTTTAGTGTTAAATCATTGTTGCTCTGAACACGATACGTATGTTTCATTGTAATAAGCAATAATTGTTTGAAAACTGTTGTTCCGCTTCAGTTTTGAATCAATGATGCTTTAAACAAATTTGGTACGTATGTTTTTTCATTAAAAACAATAATTGTTCAAAAGCTGTAAAACCTGTTCTGCTATAGAGTTTGATCAATTATTCTCCGAGCAAATATGCGTCGTATGTTTTATTGCATTATTCATTTTCATTCATGTCGATAATAATGAACATCACCTGTTGTAATACAATAAATTCGACAAATCGTGAGGTCTTCCAGACTATAAACTCCACCTGTCCGACTTAAATGCATCTCAGAGATAGAATACAGGATGTTCTTTTTCTCCAACTTGACATAAAGAACACTGATGAGCATTATGTCTGTACATCTGTCAGACCAACTCACTTTATAATGACCACCTTCATTTCTAATGTATACGTTTATATCTAACTCTTCCTGCTAATTAAACATTACCATGGCAACATGCGCATATTGCAACAAAAACCCGGGATGCACGAGCAGATCGTGAATGTTTTCTTCGGTTGCATAGCAACGCTTCCCCATACCGTCCCAAACCAGTGCATGTCTCCGAATTCCTGCTTCACACCGATCCACACTTGGAGACTACATTCAATACGTTTGGGGCTCTGAATGCGTTTTCAGATGCACGAGATAGCAAAAAGTAATATGTCACCTGACCAAGTCAAGTGGTCTGGTCAGAGTAATGGCTTTTTCCTAATCCCGTATAAAGGGTTGACGAGGGGTGGTTTACTGGGGTTGCCCTTGTGGGGATAGTATTCTAGTACTGCCTCATAACCACATGCCTGAGTGAACAGACAATGGGATCTCACAGACAGTGGAATTGAAGGAAAACCCTTAGCCTCATGTCAACTTCTAGACAACGCGATTCCCAGGAAACGGATCATCTGAATCGTTTTTTTTCTTCCATGTATTTTGATGATTTATATATTAAAAAATTGGTTTCTTTCTTCAGGTTTCCGTTTCTATGGCCAATGTCCAGATAACTTTACTTTACATATGAAAATAAATGCTTGATAGTTAGAAATGGTCTTCCCAATAACTTGAATCCTATTTCTATGGATGATTGGCCGAAAAACAATAAGAGTCAAACAATACACCTGAAGTAAATTAAAATGCGCAGTTTAAGGATTTAAGTTCACTTTGTGAACTGTGTGTGTTCATTGGAGTCTGAACCTTCGCAAAGTGAGGATCAAGCGGTATGAACGTCGGCGCTTGCGACATACAATGATAGACTCGTGATACTACTAGAAACATTGTCCGGTTGACTCTGATTTTGAGGGTTGGTCGGGTAGGTTAAAGTGGTTAAAGCATTCGCTCGTCACGCCGAAGACCCGGGTTCGGCTCCTGACATGGATACAATGTGTGATGCCCATTTCTGGTGTCCTCCGCCGTGATATTGCTCGAATATTGCTAAAAGCGGTGTAAAACCATACTCGCTCGCTCACTCACTCACTCACTCACTCACTCACTAGGATTTTGAAGCTTCGATCATAAGCAATTATGGTGCCTTCGACGACTGGACCTCCCGTGTCCACTCCTTCCGTGTGTATGTATATATTAACATGAAGTGAAAAATCTTATATATACATAATATTCGTTAACTACCCTTACCAATGATAGACATGAATTGAATTTTGGATTGGTTTATTATAAATTAAACGTATGCCAAATTAACTTTTGAAAAGCTAAGATTTCCGTGCAATTCTCACCTTTTTCCTCGCCCAGTTTTGAGCCGCCGTCAACTTGCTGCTGTCGCCGGACCCGAGATGCCACGCTGACAGGAACTTCCAGCCGTGGGACACGTGACTTGACAGCCTCGGCGACGACAGGGAACGTTTCAGCTTGTGCCCACTGTCAAGCATATCTCCATCGTACTTCACGTCGACGTCGCGCGGTTCCACCTTCACGTGCAGCTGACGTTCACGTTTCAGAGTTCTCTCCCTGTCAATCATCCTGATGGTAAAGATTATCACGACTACTACAACGATGACGAGGCCTGTCAGACATCCCAATGCCGTTACTATCGTCGTGTTGTTGTTGCTTTCTGCAGTGCCGGTTAACAGAGCTACTATTGTCTCATTACTAGCAACCACTTCTACGATCAACGTTGTGTTCGTCGATAACGACACCGTTCCTTGGTCTCGAACCATGATATCCAGGGAATAAACCCCTAAATCATCAAGGGTAGGATATCTGGTTAGAGTAATCGTTCCTGTTTCGGAATCGAGGCTGAAAAGTTCGTCTTCTGTTTGATCGTCAAAATCAACGTCTTCAAGCCTGATTTCGACCCTCTCAATAGATGCCAGTATATACTCAAGTTTGCCATTATCACCCGCATCGTTGTCGATAGCATCAATGGTCACTAATGCAGTACCAGGATCAGTGTTGTAAGTTACGAAAATGGTGTCGTTCTTTTCAGATGGGAAGAAAAGAACAGGAGCATTATCGTTCCTGTCATCAACATCAACAAAGATCTTAGCAGTGCTTGTGATGGGTTCTCTCCCTTTATCTGTTGCGAGTACCACAAATTCAAAATGACTTTCCATTTCCCTGTCTAAGGGCCGAGTTGTCTTCAATTCCCCTGTTTGGGTCACCGCGATTGGGAAACTTTCAATATCCTCAAATAATAGCTCAATACTTAAAAACAGTTCGCCGTTTCGTCCATCATCAAGGTCATAAACCGACACTTTACCGACTTGAGTTCCCCGGGGGAGGTTTTCAGGAGTTTCAAATGAGTATATACTCTGGCTGAACGTCGGGGCCACGTCATTTACATCTTGAAGATTAATCAACACAGTTGCTGTAGAATTATGACATGGAGTGCCGTTATCTCGAGCCATGACAGTCAATAGAATCTGTGCCTTATCTTCTCGATCGAAAGAGAGTAGAGCAGTTATCTCCCCTTGTTGAGAAATCGTCACGCCGGAGTCCCGACCCTCTGTGATTGAGTAATGGATTTTCCCATTATCACCATAGTCTGAGTCGAATGCCGTTACTTGTAGCAGTGTAAGGTCGGGTTTGTTGTTTTCTTCTACAGTAACCTCATACACTTCTTGTGTGAAGGTGGGTATGTTATCATTCTCATCAAATATTGTCATTGTAAAAGATGCAGTGGTGTTCAGGGGAGGCTCAGCTTCATCCTGACACGTGATGGTCCCGCCGACTTCGCTCTCCGTCTCTCTATCCACGAAGCGCTTCAACGTGACCTTGTATTCATTGACGTCGAGGTTCTGGATCTCAAACGTCGAGCTGTCAATGGAACATTTAACGTAGCCGTTTCTTCCCGAGTCAAGGTCACTCGCGGCCAGGTGAGCTACGACTGTGCCAAGTCTGTAGGACTCGGATACTACTCCGCCGTTCAGGAGATTGAGGTTTATCACGGGTTCTGTATTTTCTGTGTCTTGAACGAATATTTCTACCTCGCTTTGGCCAACCAATGGTGGAGTGTCGCCGTCCACACATTCAACTACAAACTTGAGTTTTCTCCCTTGGATCTCTGACAGCGGGGATATGACGGTTATCTCCCCTGTTCCTGGATTCATGATGAAATACTTTCTTGCCTCACCTGACTGAAGAGGGCTGAGTCTGTAAAATGGTCTCCAATTGACATTAGCGTCAGCGTCAGATGCGGTAATGCTCAGTACAACGTGGCCAACAGAAACCACTTCCTCGACTGTGACGTTATACTGTGCAAATGGAAATATTGGTGCATTGTCATTGATATCTGTGACTGTTATATTAACCATCAGTAGACTTGACTTCCTGGGAATTCCACCATCTTTTGCCATTAGATAGATTCGGTAGAAATCCTTCCGCTCTCTATCTAAGGTTTCTCTAACTATCAGATTGACAACGCTGCCGCCATCGAGATTCTTCTTAATGTCAAGGTCAAACACCCCATCGGCTCTAAGAATATCATATGTCTGAAGGGCATTGCGTCCAGTGTCCGGATCAATCGCTCCTTCAATAGCAAACGACGAGTTAACAGACACGGATTCCGAGATGTCCAGAGATACAGACTTCGACGGGAACGTAGGAGCGTTGTCGTTGACGTCAACGACTACAATATTGACCCGAACCTTCTTGAACAGCTGGAACGTTGACGACTGCACCACCAACTGCAGGTTGAGGTTGCATGACTTTGCAAAGCCACATATCTCTTCCCTGTCGATTCTTTCCACGGCAAAGATCTCCCCCTTTCCATCCGTGATCCGGAACAGGGAACTATGGGGGTAACCTTGGGGCAGTAAGCTGTACCGGAGAGAGGTCAAGAGCTCATCCGTCTTCTCTTCTTCCAGTTCCAGAGAGTCCGTTACAGATCCTACCGCAACGTTGACCCCTTGCTCCTCTACAAGGTCAAATGAGATGACCTGAACTAGGTAGGCGGGGTCAGGTAGTAAGGTCAAGGTCACTATGAGGATGAGCACAGAGGGAAGGGGCATGTCTGGCTACTTCGAAGTGATGTGGACAATGTTTCAGTGTGTTGATCTGAAACAGTAAAAAGGCTTTCAGTAATACATGGTTTCAAGCAATTTTAGATTGAGACTATGAGTATATTGCTCAGGTAAGTTGACAGTACTAGAAAGTAAAAGGTTGATTGAAGTCCCTCGAACGCCAGTGTGCATGCTACTTCAATATGTATTATGTATACCAATCTCGAAGCTGATGCGCACACTAAACTCACTCAGACAAGGCCTACGTTTCACACGGAGAACGGCCAATGGTGATTCCGGGTAAGACTATATACTGCGCAAAGAAGGTTCGGGATCATGAACATGATGGGGGACATCTTTATAAATAGTGTGTGCCCTAGGGCTGGGACGAGTCCAAATTTACTACCTGGTACCCATCCCCCTATTACCCGACACTACCCGGGTACCCAGTGTAGGTCTCAGGAGATGTCTCAAAATGTCCTATTTATTACGGAATTACTGATATTTTCAATTGTTTTTAAGATATCGGTATTTTATGCAAAGATATCAATAATGTTTTTAAGATATCAAAAATAATTAAAGATATCTTAAATTCATTTCTGATATCCATAATACAGTTACTGATATCTTAAAATGTTACGGTGATATCAACAAATTAGTTTGTGATATCTCTAAATGTATTTAAGATCATTAAACATTTACCATCCTACTGTACATATAAATATATTAGAAATAAATTCAAGATATCTTCAATTCAATTCAAGATATCTTGAAATAAGTTATACATATCCACAAATGCATTACAGATGTCATTAATTCGTTTTAGATATCTTTAATTCAATTAGAGATATCTTTACATCTATTCAAGATATCATTAATTCTGACCGTTACTGATATCAAAAATCCAATTAAAGATATCATTAATCATTTTGAAGATACCTTTATACCAATTATTGATATCTGTTATCTAATTTAAGTAACATGAAGGAATTACACGAATTATTCCAGTCCCCAAAATGGCAGAAATGATTTACAGATATCTTCAAATACTTCCTGTCCGACTGCATATCCCACATTACTTAACAGACGGAAGTATTTTAAGATATCTGTAAATAAGCGGAAGTATTTAATAATGGCAACAATTTAGTTTCAATATATCAGGAATTGAATTACTGATACCATAACAAAACGTGACATTTTGATATCTTTAAATCATATTTCGATATCAATAATCGAATTAAAGATATCAGTAATTCTTTCCAAGATATCAGTAATACCCTTCACCATATCCTTAATTCATTTCGTGATATCTTAAATTTTATTGCAAATATTTACAATTATCTGTATTTAAGATATCTTCAGTTCCATTAAGGATATCTTAAATTCAATTCAAGATATCTTTAAAACAATTGAAGATATCTGTAATTTCGTAATAAATGTGAAAACTGCTCTCCATACGTCAGCGGCGACTGAACGGGTCGGGATCCCTACAATGGTTGTACATGGGCGTTGGAGAATTGTCTCTTAAAGGAACAACTGTTACATGTAACATGGCAGTCACGTGTATCTGGTTTGTTTCCCCTTTACAGATACAAAAAAAAACGTGCTTTTAATTACAAATCAATTATTTTTAATTTCACAAATCGCTTCAATCAGTTTTCTGTTAATCGGTTGCACAGCCATATTATTACCATTAAACTGGGTTGTAAAGAACTCGAAACGGTGTAACTTTAATATTTGAGATTTCGTTATATCACACTTAGTTATGTACAAGTTACAAAGACTTGTACGTTAGAAATCATTTCCAGCAGTAACGTCATGTTTTAACTAAACATACAAACTTTAACTGAACAATCCTGAGCTATAACAGTGTTCATGTGACAGTTCGCACCGCATGCTTGTGCTCTGGACTACTTGTATGGACGACAGCTCCTGGTTGTGGCTGTCACTTGGCTCAAGAGATTGGCCATATTTTTATAATTACGTCATCAACAATGTTTTAGGGGGAACTATTTTCTGGATTAATTTCTTTGGCTACACCATAACCGACTATACCGCTATGCCCTGGTGCTATCATGTTCGTTCTACAATGATTCGTGTGTGTAAGTCTTATTGTCGTTTCAATTGTATTTTTCAGTGATACACGTGTATTTCTACATAATGTCAATATCGACATTACTTACATGTATACTTTCACTGTATACACTAAGGTAGAGTTCACGGAGGGAGTTGGTCTCTCCCACTTTCATAGTACGTAACTACACTGCCGGACAAAAGAAGCTTTACACCCATGTTTGATAGTGGCTAAAAATGAACAAAACCAGAAATGATTTATCGATGGTGATGTATTTGATAAGTGCATCACAGTTGTGTTTTGCATTAAAAGTTTGCAGTGATTCGGCGACTGTTTTCAGCCTAGCAACCTTTTGATAACTTTTGTAACTTGTTTGTTAAATCCAATTTATAAGTGTATACTTTCTTTGGCTCGCCAGTTTATAGTCAACGTAAATATTCCTATGGGTAGTTATTGATAACTAAAAATATCAAATATTTATATTAACTAATAACTATCACAGAATACATGAACATTTAGATTTATCTGAATTTAAACTTGTATTATTTATATTTTATGCGGTTGTAAATAAATATAATACAGATAAGTAAGGGTGCGATCGGGTAGCCAATTGGTTAAAGCGTTCGCTCGTCACGCCAAAGACCCGGGTTCGATTCCCGACATGGGTACAATGTGTAAAGCCCATTTCAGGTGTCCCGCGCCGTGATATTGCTGGAAAATTGCTTAAAGCTGTGTAAAACCATACTCACTCACTTAATAATAAAGGTAAAGCCAGCGTAGAGGAATAACCTCGTGGTTAAAACGTTGATTCGTAAAATACGGGTTCGATTACCTACACAAGGTGTGAAGCCATTATTTGGCATTACCTGCAGTGATATAGCTGGAATATTGCTAAAAGCGAAATAAAACCCAACTCACCAACGCCATATCTTAACGGGGGATATCGGTAAAATGAACCTGATCTCAAATCAGACTGTCATACAGATGTTTAGTTTTCATTGTACCCTCAGACAGAGCCCGGCAGGTATATCGTATATACTTAACATTATTATTTTCTTGACACATAGTGGACGGTTGACCGATGGTGACCCATATCAACCATCGTTAGCTTATATACATTCGGATAACCCCTACTCAGTGCACACAAGTGTTTAAGCAACGCACATAGCACCGACAATCACCGGGTACTTCACAGCGACCTAATGATCAGTGTGTTTGCACTATTACTGACAGATGTCGTGATATTGTGTGAACACTGTACGGCTCCACCTACACATTTGTTTAAACATTCATAACTGTTTGTTTTGTCTTCTTCCCGATACTACAGGCTATACTGCCGTTTGCTTACGATCCGTTTTCGCACAGGTGAACGCATGCATAGTAGCCCTATTTCTGAATCTTGTATGCATGTATGCATGAATATAGTCTGGGCGTCAATGGATCTGAAATGTTGTTTATACACTCTTTCACGTGTCATGACGCGCATCCTTCCCGAGTCTATTTTGGAATACGCTGCATTAAACATTGTAAGTTTTGCTTTAACGCCGCTTTGAATACTATTCCAGTTATATCATGGCTTCATGTAGAGAAAATCCCAGATTGAGAAAAAACGTTTACCTCATTAAACCTACGTACACGTTAACGCAAAGTGACAGAATCGAACCTTGATATACCTTACAAAATGTCATGAATGACATTTTTTTTTAATATATTTAAAATAATATTTTAAGTAAAAACATTATTTAATAAGTAACTGCATAATGTAACCCACATGAAAACAGCATTTAAACATACGTACATACGTATTACGAACCTCGTCAACGCGTGAAGAACAGTGCTCCCTGTGAAAGCCATCATCAAATAACTACACCTTCATAAATTTTATTTGCGACTTAATATTTTCAATGAAAGTGTTTGAATCTGAACTCATCTGGTTCAACATTCCTTGCTTACCAGAAACAACATTTAAAAGAATGCCATCAAATTCCGACCTTTCTGGAAGTGAGCCCTACCGCATAAAACCCCAACAGCGTGCACCTGTCCGGGCTTAAGTAAATAGTACAAGTGAAATGTACATGCTATCGACATGCTATCAACATGCGCCTAATGACCACCCCACAATACCAAGCTAACATGTACCATTGAAGCCCGTATTAGCACAGTGGCACAAGGAAATGTTCATAGTGGGTACATATTAGCATAGACTTAGTGTTACAATATTTGTTAATATCAGAGTTGAATAGGCAGCGTTGACACAACTTTTGTTCTATTTGCTCTGACCATGTGCCAAGCATGCCTCTTCCTCTTCCTTTATTTTCCTACTGGACATCATGGTTGTTGACCCCTCATGTTGAATATCACTGACAGCTGATGGTCAGCGTGTGGGTCAGTTTCCACCTGTCCAGGAGGGATCTTGTTACATGGTATCAATCAGCCTGTACTACGGTTTCCAGTAGTTTTGATTTAAGAGCGCGAGTCATGCTTCTGGTTATCTTATACGGTAAAATAGAAAGTAATGATACTGAATCTTTGTTCGTTTTTTTTGTTTTTTTTGTTTAACGCCGCACTCAGCAATATTCCAGCTATATGACGACAGTCTGTAAATAAAAGAGTCTAGACCAGACAATCCAGTGATTGACCTTATGAGCATCGATCCACGCAATTGGGATACGATGGCATGCATCAACCAAGTCAGCGAGCCTGACCCACCGATCCCATTAGTCGTCTCACGACAAGCATAGTCGATTTTTACGGCAAGCTTGAGATGCTGAAGACCTATTCCACCTTGATCTTTACGGGTCGAATCTTTATTGGCACATAGGTTTTCTCGGACTATTTAAATATTCTGAGTGATACACCACTGTACATTTGCAGTTTTGTGCACTAGTGGTATTAGTATAAAGGTACTCCTATTCGGAACTCGGTGTATGAATGTAAAATAAATCGATTATATAATTATATCGATTATTATCA